TATATATAGCAAATTAGGAGTTTATTGAGGCTAAGGTCATAGTTATTAGTTAGTTAATAGTGAGAACTGGTCCTCAAACTAAAGAGTGGCCAAAAAAATTAAATAATTAAAACATTAACAGTTTACAATAAGGTTCCATTTGTTAACATTAGTTTTGTACATTAGCTAACAACTAACAATGAAAAATACTTGTAAAGCATTTATTAATCTCAGTTAATATTCATTTCATCCTTTACTAATATATTATTAACAGTTCAAAGTACCTGCTAATATTAATTAATGGACCTAAGATAACATGAACTAACAATGAACTGTTGTTCTTTTTTAAATAAAAAAATGTATAAATACCGTAACAAATGCATTGCTTATTGTTAATGTTAATTAATGCATTAATTAATGTTAGCTAATGGACCTTATTGTAAAGCGTTACCATAAAAAATATATAGACCAATATATATATATATATATATATAAACTTTAACTAAAAGTGAAGACTGAAAATTTTGTAGAAATTCTAATTCAAAATATTAAAAAAAAACTACATTAGTGTAGTATAACTGTTACCTCTGTATAACAGAGGTAGAACTGTTACCATGGGTGATAGAAGTTTAATTCTGCCTTTTAAGTTTTCAAATAAAACAAAAAAGTGCTACCGCAAATACTGGATATTCCAGAAAACATAAGTTGCACCGGGTTAAAATTGTCTCGGAAATTGCTAGTAAATTTCATAAATAATTACAAAGAAATGACAAGTAACACATTGAATTAAACGTGACATTTTCAAGTAGAAAGAGTTTAAATGGTATTTTCTGGTAAACATACTCCAGTACATACTTTTTTTTTTTTTTTTAAAGGGTGTTTTCTTTTTTTTTTTTTTTTTTTTGTGTTTTGTTTTTCATTGTACTCAAGTAGAAAGAGTTTAAATGGTATTTTCTGGTAAACAAATTTTTTTTTTTTTTTTTTTTTTTTTTTTACAGTGTGCTTTCATGTTTTTTTTGTTTTTTTTGTGATTTGATCTTCACTGTACAGCAGCACCATTATAATCCATCCCACCCCCATTTTGGCTTCAAGCAGGTACAGAGGCATCGTGTCATAAACGGAGCAATAATGCTGCTAGAGAGCTGCTGAAGTGTGAGGGGGCGGCAAAATACAGCACAGGGAGCTGCTAGGAAAAACTTCCCCGCTATAACTGATTGATTTCAACGAGAGGGCTAAGCAGAGCACAAAACCATTACAATTCCATGAAGAAGCTGCGGAGAAAAGGACAATCTGATGTGAAAGTAGACTAACTGTCCAGGATCTGCCACCGAACATGGCACAATGTATATTGTCTCTCAATACAAGTGATGCACATGGATTTAATGTGTGTACATCCTAACTGAACGTTTAGTTGACTTAACTCTTAAAAGCAATGGTTTGAAAAGGGGGTTTTCGCAGTGTTGCCACAGAAGAACAATTTCTGGCTCCCCAAAGAACCTTTCAGTGAACAGTTCTTAAAAGAGCCATTTTTTCTTAGTTTGAAGAACATTTTAATAATCTAAGAAAACTTTTACACTAGAAAGAACCTCTAAGGTTCCATGGATGTTAAAGGTTATTCGAGGAACCATCAGTGTGTACCATCAAAGATGGTCCATAACCAGAACTGTTTTGAGTTTTGTAACGTGAACTGATTAAATGTCTGTTCTGCTGTTGTTTAGAAGGCTTCCCGCTGAAGAACCTGCAGAGTCCAGTGAACGCGACCCTGCGGCGCTTCCTGCACGGCTCAGACGCTGTGCCCTCCTTCTGGAACTTCAGTCTGCTGGGTGGACAAGGCGGCTGGCAGAGCGACGGCTGCCGGATCCTCCATCAGGACGACAACTTCACCACAATGTCCTGCCATTCACTGAACAACTACGCTTTACTGATGGTGAGAGAGATGAAAGTGGCTTGAATTTCAGTCTGTTCTTCATAACAAACTATTGTAGGACTTTCAAAGACCTGCAATGTAGCACACATGTCGCTTTTTATAGTACTTTTGGTTGTTTTTTGTAAAGTCTACGGAAAAGCTTGAGGATTCTGCTGGATAATTTGTTAATTAACAAGTTCAAATAAAACTATTTAAAAATCATTATTAGTTTTTGTTCATTGAAATAAAGCTGAAATAAAAAACTTCAACTTGCAGAAATTTAAACAAATTTCTGAAACTAAAACTGAAATAAAAAATTAATTAAAGCTAAATAGAAATATAAAAAAAACTAATAAAAATGAAAAACGCTCATAGCAAAATGACTTTTTATATAAATATATATAATATATATTTTACTCTAATACCATCCAGAAGTGATGTGCAGGATTGGTAATGGATTCCAATCTTCCCATCATCATCTTGTCATGTAATTCTGTCATTTCAAGGGGTTTTTTAGTGCTGGATTTTTCTGCTGTGCAATTTTCTTCTGATTTTCCTTCATGGTTGACGTGCACCGTAAGCCTTTGACTTTAGACCTGTTTGTAATTAGATCTTTTCACACATCCTCAACACCTGCCTTTCAAGATCAAGCAGAAAAATCGGAATTATCGGTTGTTGAAATGCATTTGCAAATATAATCTGCTGATATACACTTGTCTAACAGGATCTGAACAGGACCGGGAACGACACGTACAGCTTCGAACCTCTTCACCCTGTTATCTACGCCACTGCCATCATCCTGGTGTTCTGCCTGCTGTCAGTCATAGTCAGTTATATCTACCACCACGAGTAAGTGCTGCAATTGTCTTTCTGCATGCAAGGACGATGAAAAATGCAGTTTCTTTTTAAAGGGATAGTTCAACGAAAAATTAAAATGTGATGCTAATTTACTCACTCTCAGGCATTCCAAGACATAGTGACTTTTATTTCTTTACAGGGTGTCCGTGGTTCCTTAAAAAGTTTTCAAATGTCTTAAATAACGTTTTCCTAATATAAGGCCTTAAAAAGACTTACAATGTCTTAAATTCGGATTCGATGTGTCTTAAATATTTTTGGTCACATTACCGCTAAAATATCTTCAGTCTGATGGACCTAAAGATTAATTTATATCTGACCACCACACAGAATATGAAGAATATCAAAATCTTTAGGAGTCAGCTGTCCACGAAATTCCTTAAGATACCAGCATGATAACACACTTAATCAGTTGAATGAATGACTCAATACTCACTCATTAAGTGACTTACCGTCACTTACTTGTAGTTCAGTTGAGAAGTTTGTTGAAAAGTATGCATTTTCCCCCTCAACATTTCTTATTTGTATATTCTTAAATGCATTTAAAACATTAATCTCATAACATTATTTATTGCAGTTGTAATTATTGTTATTTGCAGTGTAAATTATTTAATCTGACTGGTAGCAGCCCTATAGTGTATATTGAATTTATTGATAAATTGTAATAATTTGACATGTAAGATGATGCATGCATCTAAAAAGTTTAAAAATAGGCATTTGTAAAGGTAAATATGCAGATTTAAGATGATAGAACACTGATGAAAATATTGCTTCAGAATAAATTGTTTAGTCCACCAAAAATCTCATGCAGTTATTTTGCAGGGATATTTTGTATGGAATATTGTCTTCTGATATATAATATCATATAATTATATAAATATAATTTATTACAGCAATGGTATTTTGTTTTCTTTTTAATTCATACACATTAAATATTACATACTGTATATGTATGTAATAAAAATGTGTATTTCCATTACAGGTTTAGGTCTTAAATTCCATATAAGGTGGTATTAAAAATGTCTTAAAAAATCTTAAATTTAACTTGTTCATGTCTGTAGAAATCCTGCTTTAGTAGAACAGTAGAGAAGATTATTAGCTGGAACACTGGTCTTTGGTGATTCATAAAATGCAAGGCAATGGCTTCCGGCACTTTGAGAGTAAAAAAAAAAAGCATATCAGAGAGCACAATATTAATATGGCTTCTGATGATATATTGAGGTCTTATGAAGCGAAACAAGCAGTCTGTGCAAGAAACTGAACATTATTTACAACATTATTACCTGTAATCCAGAGCCTCAGACAAACAGTCCGGAATTATGTCTGGTTTACGAACGAATCATTCATTTGAACCAGTTCACCAAATCAGACTGAACCATCAACAGTTCGCAGCTCGAGCAGCACAGATCTACAAGTTACTCAATCAAAACTCACTTTAGGCAGGCACCTGATAGTCGAAATGAGCCAATTTACTGGCGTATCTGACCCTCTGATGCTGGTTTTTCCCAACAGTTACTCCTGAACTGCCGAGGGTTTCATAAAGGGAGCGAAATGTATGTTTCTGATGCATTTGCATTTCACATCATTTTTGGGTGCTTTAATAATATAATTGCTTATGCCTGATATCATTGCAAGATTATGTAAACAAATTGGAGAATTGGTTATTTGAACAAGTTCATTCAAACGAACTGTCAAAAAAAAAAAAACAGTTTGTAGAAAAGAATCAGACTTCCCTATTGGATTATGGATGTTGTAAATAATGTTTAGTTTCTTACACAGACCATTCACTTCTCTTCATAAGACCTCAGTAGTCAAGTCACCTTTATTTATACAGCAGTTTATACAATACAGATTGTGTCAAAGCAGCTGCACAGTGTCAAACAGGAAAACATATGTGCTGATAATGCAAGAGGACTTTAGAAATTGTGTGTTGTCTGTATATGCTTTTTTGACTCTTTCAATGACGGTAGCCATTGACTTGCATTTTACGAATCACCAAGGACCACGGTTTCAGCTCAGAATCCTCTTTACTGTTCTACTGAGGAAAAATGGATGACCTGAGGGTTAGCAAATTTAACAGCGAATTTTCATTTTCGGGTAAACTATCCCTTTAAGCTGTAAATATGCTGGTTTTAATGAGGTATTTCCTGTGTTCGCAGGTCGGTGCGTGTGAGTAAGAAGTGCTGGCACATGCTGGTTAACCTGTGCTTACATATTCTTCTGACCTGTGCTGTGTTTGTGGGCGGCATCAACCAAACGTACAATGCAAGCGTTTGTCAAGCGGTATGTGCCTGCTTTTCTATGTATATATGGAGTTTGGGTGACAATATTTACATAAAATCGTCTCTAAATGTTTCTCGGTTTATAGGCAGAACTGCAGTACTGCTTTCAAGTTCACATTACTCGTTTGAGAGTATCAGCATTGTCATTGGCTTTGAGGAGAGCTCTTATGTTTTCTAATGTCATGTCCTGAAGGTGGGAATAGTGCTGCATTACTCCACGCTGGCTACGGCCTTGTGGTCCGGCGTAACGGCACGCAACATCTACAAACAGGTGACGCGGAAGGCCAAACGCTACGAGGAGCTGGACGAGCCTCCGCCTCCACCCAGACCTATGCTGAGGTAAAGGTCAAAGCAGTGAATGAGGAGGAGAAGTGTTAAAAAAGTACACTCTAAAAAATGCTGGGTTAAATACAACCCAGTGCTGGGTAAAATAGGGACAAACCCGGCAATTGGGTTGTTTTGACCCAGCGGTTGGATTACTACCCAGAAGGTTGGGTTCAACATTTAACCCAACAGCTGGGTCAAAACAACCCAATTGCTGGGTTTGTCCCTATTTTACCCAGCACTGGGTTGTATTTAACCCAGCATTTTTTAGAGTGACTATGTAATAATAATAATAAATTAAATAAATAAATGAATGTACAAATAAATAAGAAATAATATAATAAATAAATAGAAATTATTAATAATCATTTTAAAAAGCAAGCACACATGCTGTGACCTATTTTAGGGTACAGAGAGTTTAGAAATGTCATTTTACTCTTAAATTGCCCAAAAGGCAAGACTGTGGGTTTTAAATTAAGTTCCCCTGCGGACCACTTGGTGTCAGTAAATATTCAACAGAAATTGTCCATGGGTTGAATGAAAATTCTGCCATTTACTCACCCTCATGTCATTCCAAAACCAGATGTTTTTTTCTTCTGTGGAACGCAGAAGAAGATTTTTTTTTTTTTTTTTTTTTTTTTTGGAAAAATGTTGGTAACCAAACTGTTTTAGTGACAATTGATTTTTTTTGAGACATTTCACAAAATATCATCTTTTCTGGTCAAAAAAAAAAAGAATAATGGCTTGGAACGACATAAGGATGAGTGAATTATGACTCTGTGAATTAATATTTTAGTATTTTTTTAATATATATGTACTATTATAGTAACCAGAGTCATACTAACTAAGGATGCAGAAACACTAGTATTTACAGGATAATCACATTTCTACAGTATGTATTAATATTAGCTTGTATACTTATAAGTTTTTATTTTAATTTTAGTTTAAATGTTAGTAATTTTATGATTTTGTCCTTTTATTTCTATTTAGCTTATATTTCAGGTGTAGTCATTTTAGTACTTAAAATGATTTTTAGTTTAATTTAAGTGTTTCATCTAATATTTATATTTTATTTTATTTAAGCTTTGTCAATTCTATTTTTAATAGCTCTAGTTACCAGTAACAACACTGATGATGACAGAAATCTGGAATACGCTATTTACATTTTGCCCAAATCTTTGCTACGATTTGCAGTCTGAATATATCTAGTTGCTGAAAGTCAGATTTTACAGTAAATCGTGTAGTTTATGATGGTCACAGACTCCAAATTGTTTGATATTTTGAGCTGATTATGGAACACATTATTGTCATTTGGCGCAGTTTCTTTCTGTAATCATCTTTCTGTAGTCAGCCTTAATGCTCTAACATGAGGATATGTAATACCTTACTTATTAAATTTAAATAGTTTTTTTCTTCTACAGATTCTACTTAATAGGTGGAGGCATACCGATCATTGTGTGTGGAATAACAGCTGCTGCTAACATCAAAAACTATGGTAGTCAAGTCAATGCTCCTTAGTAAGTATTTGAGTTTTATGATGCTTTTTAAACTATCTCTCGCAATACAGTTCAAGCTAGGGGACTTTACGATATATTGATTGTAATTGAGTTTTGTGTAATCATTTAGACTTTAGTGTGTGGATCCATTTAAGCCATGTGAGACAAAATGCAATGGTATAATATGTTTCCTTAACTTCGTTGCTATTAACGACAGACTGCAGAGATCCAGCCTGTATCTGCCTCAAGGCACTGTTCAAATCCCCCCGTGAACACTCCCTGTCATTTCATAGTCTTTCTCTGTCATGAGAAATTGCTTTTGCTGTCACTGGAGCCTAATGCCCATGTATTGTAAAGTGCAGAATAATGCTTTATATTAAGGAGAGAGTAGTTTAGACCTTCTGAAGCCGTGTGAACCTAATTATGGTGCTCTATTTTTGGCTCCCCACCTTGTGTGTGTTGGTTTCCCATGCTCCCTTCTTTCACTTGTGACAGCTGTTTGGATTGTGTAACAGCGTGGTTTAATTTGAAAATCCAGACCATCTGAGATCTTTGGGGTTTAATTAATCTCACACTACCATGACAAAAGAAAAAACCGCTCTGCTGAGCATCACAGAACTCAGAAGTGCCTCATAAGTGTTTTACGTCTCTGATAATATGAAGCCCTTGATAGCACTAGTGCAAACTTAAGAACTTGTATATACTTAATGTAAAAGCTACTTTTTGGAGAAAAGTGAGTGGCAGCTGCGGTGATGTATAACGGGATGGGAGTTTTCTAGCGCTGTTCTATGTGTATTTTATGCACAGTTTAAATTAAATTTCGCTTTTTCATGCTGCCAAGTAGGACAATACGACGTTGATTTACTGAAGTGTAAAACAGCAATAAAGTAATTCTCTTAAAGTACATAACGATATATCAGCACAACATCAGTATTTAAATGCAAATTCTATTAATCGAAACAAAAAAAGAGGAAGATCATATGTAGTTATTGTAATTTTGTAAATAGTTTCATTTTATTTTATTTTATTATTATTAATGCCATTTTTATGCAATCAGTACAATCTTTGATGCTGATATGACAAACAAATAATTACATTTTTATTGTCATTAATATAATCTTGTTGATATGACCAAAAAAAAAAGAATTAATCAACAATAATAATAATCACTATTATAATGTCATGGAAAAGAATCGACCATTATGATTTTTGTCATAATTAAGCAGCCCCAGCTAAATGTATTTATGATTGTTTATTGTGAACTCTTTTTTTTTAATTATTATTATTAACAGTTTATTGAAGGAATACAGTTTTTGAGTGTTAGACAGCAATATTAAAGCATATTAAATATTAAGCATTAAAGTGTATATAGAATATTTCTGGCAGATTATTATTATTATTATTGCCATATATATATAGCATTTTCTGATATGGCAATTAAAATAATTAATCAACATTAATAATCACCTTAATACTTTATTTTAATGCATCCTTGTTACACTACAGGTATTTGATATAGTTATATATAGTAAATAATGCATAAATACAAGCAACTAATACTAAACCAAACCCCAAACCTATAGTAAGCACATGGTGTTAATTAATATTACTTATTGTGATAGTGTAAATTACATTGTAAGTACTGGCAAATTAAAATAAAGTGACAATCACAATAATTACATAAAGTAACAATTACATTATGCGAAATAATCAACCATTAAAATTTTTGTTGAATGTATGTATTTATGAATGCATAATTTGAAGGCATTTTAGTTGTTGTGTCGCGATGTAACACAAGCAGCAACAGATATTTTCTGTCATATTGTGTAAAATGGATTATCCCAAAAAAATAAAAATAAAGTAGGGTGGGACTTGGTTCTATTCATCGGTTGTTGATTGGATGGAGGCAGATCTGAATGCAGGCTTGCAGTTTTTGTAAGAAAGGGGGTTAAAATGGACTAAATTATTGGAGAAGTCCAGCATACATCACCAGAGAGAAGTCTGTCATTTCACCGGAAGATCCAGTTATGATATTTTGATTAACGATAACAAAGTCAACAAAATTGTTGTAACACGTACACAGATTAATTGCTCACTTAAGAACAATAACATGCATTTCAAAAATAAATGGGGTGAAGTCTTTAAAAAAACACCTGTTGTCTTTCCTCAGCTGCTGGATGGCATGGGAACCCAGTCTTGGTGCGTTTTACGGCCCGGCAGCCTTCATTGTTTTCGTGGACTGCATGTACTTCCTCAGCATTCTCATTCAACTCCGCCGGCACCCCGAGCGCCGCTTCGAGCTCAAAGAACTGTCTGAGGAGCAGCAGCACCTTTCTGTGGCCGAAGCGACCGAAATCACACCGGCCCTCCTGGAGTCCTCGTCTGCAGCCGCCAATCAACCGGTCCCGATGTCGGCTCTGGAGAACGAACATACTTTTGTGGCCCAACTCATTGGCGTGGCAGGGTCTCTTGTGCTTTATGTCGCTCTGTGGGTGTTTGGTGCTCTTGCGGTGTCCCAGGAGCATCCGGCAGATTTGGTGTTCGCCTGCCTCTTCGGCGCCACCGCTTTGGCTCTCGGGGCATTTCTTGTGGCGCACCACTCCGTGAACCGTGAGGACATGCGGCGTCATTGGTCACGAGCTTGTTGTCTGGTTCGCCGTAACTACACTGTAGAGGTCGATTCCCTGCTGTTGCCTGTCACCGGTGGCTCCATCTTGACAGCAAGGGGAAACGGCGAAACTGCGAAGTGTCCAGCCAGCAGCGCCGAATCCTCGTGCACTAATAAGAGCGCACAGAGTGTCCGTAACTCCACCCAGGGCTGTAAGCTGACCAATTTGCAAGTGGAAGCCGCTCAATGCAAAACGGCCACTTCTACGGCCAATGGGACGGCGTTATTGGACAACAGCTTGACTGAACATTCAGTTGACAATGAGATTAAGATGCACGTCGCACCTGTTGAGGTCCAGTACCGCCCCAGTTCGGTCAACAACAACAATCTTCCAGGAACGGGCAATGCGAACATCAACGGCCAGTCAGGGCGACACCACAAGAACCGTACGAGAACGCATCGGGCCAGTAGGCTCACGGTTTTGCGTGAGTATTCATACGACGTTCCCACCAGCGTGGAGGGCAGCGTGCAAAGCGTCCCGCACAAGCGCCACCATCATCACGAGAGCCTGCAGGCCCGTAACAGTCGACGGGCGGCGTATTTGGCTTACCGGGAGCGCCAGCAGAGCCAACTTCAGCAGGACAGCAGCGATGCCAGCACCAGTGTGCCGCGTCGCCCGCGCCACCTCCCCAAAGGTGGAGGCATCCGCCTGGGTAACAGTTTTGGGCACGGGCTCAGCAACAACGTGGGGAACGGCGTCAGTAATGGAGGCTTAGTCGGAGGAGGGGACGGATCGGGGACCGACGTCACCAGCCAAACTAGAGACTGTCCAAAACAACCCCTCACTGTTGAACTGGAGGTGCAGCCCAAGTCTTACGGGTTGAACCTAGCGTGCCAAAACGGACCTGCCAAAGATGCCGAGAGGCTACAGAATTTGTCGCCCCTGAACGTGGAGAGTTCTGGGAACATCAAGACTGGCTTGTGGAAGCATGAAACTGCTGTGTAGCGAGATTCCCTTCTCAGAGACTACAAATCCAACTTTTATCTGTAACTGTGAATCTCTAATTTTATGATTTTGATCCGAATGGTACAGATTCTAAAAACAGTTCCTGAAAGAATTCGCGTTTTCATGTCTATGTGAGAAAAAGCCTACAAATGCATATAGTTTACCACTTGGCTGCATCATAGTCAGTCAACAAATGGTCTATTTTTGTATCCTTTCGGCTCATTTCGTATTTCATTCTGACATTTTGTATGTGAAGATGCATGATGTGCTGCCCTTTGAGTATATGTTGGCTGAAACTCTTATATTCCCATGTTTAACAAAGAGTTGTGGCCGTCAAATAATAAAAAAATCTCTTTACGCAACCCACTTCATCTCATCTCATCTCTGAATTCAAAGGTGAGTTCATCGGAGAGTTTCCTCTAGGACTTGTGGTTTCAAGTAACTGGGAGCTTATTTTATGATTTTGATCTGAATGGTACAGTTTGTAAAAATAGTTGCTGAAAGAATGTGCAAAATTTGAAGAAAATAAAAAAAAACCTGCAAATGCATTTAGTTTCTAGCTTGGCTGCATCATAGTCAGTCTATTTTTGTGTCCTTTAAGCCCATTTTGTATTTCATTCTGACATTTTGTACGTGAAGATGCATGATGTGCTGACCTTTGAGTATACTGTATGTTGGCTGAATCTCTTATATTCAAACGTTTTCACACAGTAGAGTGCATATGCATGTAGTTTCCCACCTGGTTGGGTCATTGTCAATCTACAAATGCTCTATTTTTGCATCCTTTAAGCCCATTTTGTATTTCATTCGTTGAAGATGCATGATGTGCTGCCCTTTGAGTATATGTTGGCTGAATCTCTTATCTTCTGTGTTTTCACAAAATTGCAGCCGTCAAATAATAAAAAAATCTTTACGCAGCCCACTTCATATCATCTGTGAGTTCAAAGGTGAGTTCATCTGAGAGTTTCCTCTAGGTCTTGTGGGTTTGGAGTAATTGGGAGCACATTGTGCGATTGCGTCTGTTTCATGGAGGCTCTAATTGAGGTGCAGGTCTTGATATCTACCTGTTTTTTCACCACTTTGCTGGAACCAGTTCGATGGGCACGAAATTGTAGGCCGCTGCCTCCAGAGCTCGATGCCCACGCAGTGATTGATGGCTGACTCTCAGGTCGGGCTGCCTGTCATCATTAGCGGTGACTGGAATATAATTGCTGTAGCGCAGCCTCACCTTTCCTACCTCCTTCTTGTCTAACTTGCCACAAGTCTGTCGAGCTCTTCCCGGCAGGGTAATACAGGATCGAGTGAAGGAAAATAGAATAATGCTTTACTCGCGCATACACATGTAGCTAAAAATGGGATCAGAATGCAACTTTTAGCGTATTCTTTCAGCAACCAATACTTTGTGAGTTTAGTGATACTAATGAAGTCCACAGGGGTTTCTCTTTGTTAAATTAGGCCATATATCAATATTTCTCAAGACATTGAATAAAATTTAGATTATTGCTTTCATAATACGCAGATGGATTTTTGCACAGAGCAGATTCTCTTCTTGTGATGAGAAAGTGCCTGCCTAGGATGTAAATATGAATGTTAAGATTATGATGATTAATAATCGTTTCAATGACATGATGATATTTTTATCTTAATTTATTCAAAAATGCGTTAAAATAAATAAAATGCATTTTAAAAGTAACAAATGCATTATCCTAATTTATTAAATTGCAAAAAATAAAATACAATAAATAAAAACTGCATTGAAATTCTTGAAAGGAAACATTAAAATAGTTTGGCATAATTGTTTCCTAGGAAGAAAAAGGAATCAGTCAAAAAAAATAAAAGTCAGGGTGATAAAATTCTCTTGATATCATAATTAATAATAAAAATGAAATTCCTGAAAGGAAACGTTTAAATAGTTTGGCATAATTATTTCTTAGGAAAAAAAGAATCAGTCAAAATAAAAATCATGTAATTTATTTAAACTTTTCCAGTAAGTATTCTCAAAATGAACATTTCATGTACTATGACTTCCCCCCAAAAATTATTTTTTAAATGTATTAATTTATTTTAAATTATTAAAATCTTGCATTTTTCAAGGTGTAAGAAAAATGTTGTAACTTTTTACTTGGTGACACCACAATTTTCAATTTCAAAACCGTGTTACATCAATGCAAGTGCACTAAGCAGTTACTACAGTGGAATGTGTGTATATGTAGTTGCACAAGATGTTTCAGTGCAAGAGATGCATATAAAAATAAAAATGATTTACATAAATGAAAAGGAGATTCTTTTTGGGATCAGTTTGTTCCACTGACCTTGTTTTACCACATGGAGCTGTTGATTCTTCCTTGATGTCCAGTGAGTTTGTCCAGATGGATTCATGGGTGACATGCCACCTTCATGTCCCAGAAATCCACTTCCACAGTAATGCAATGGACAGTAATCCTGAAAGATGTTCTAAAGTGTGTGTTCTATCAGTTAAGCCCATGAACTCTAACTTCTTTGTGAAGGTCATGCAGGAGCAATTCATTCTAATATTAATGAACTTATTCATTAACGTCATCTGACTTAATGATGAACAAGAGACAAGATTTTCTTCATTTTCACAGACATAGATATATTGCCAGACCCTCCTGAATGTGACAATGAGAAAAGGCTTTGAATTATGTATGGAGCACTTATGATCCAACAAAACTACAATATGCCAACCTGTGTGTGTTCAGTTGTAGTCTTTCTCTCCTGTCCCATGTGCCCTTTAATAAATCAGTACACTAAACTTAGATATGTAGAAAGATTTAATATCAAAAGTTTTAAAGATTTAACTGAAAAAACAATTTTCAGTGTTTTTGAAAAGTCTGTTATGCTCATCAAAGCTGCATTTATTTGTACAGTAAAAACTGTAATATTGTGAAATATTATCACAATGAAAAATGACTGTTTTCTATTTTAATATACCTTAAAATATAATTTATTCCTGTGATGCAATGCTTAATGTTCATCAGCTGTTATTCAGTGTCACATGATCATTAAGAAATCATTCTAGAATGCTGCTTTATCATCAGTGTTGGAATCAGTTGTGCTGCTTAATTTATTATTATTATTATTATTTGTCAGAATTCTTTGTTGAATAGAAAGTTAAAAAGAACATTTAATAAAAAATAAAAAAATATTTTGTAACTATACACTACCATTCACAAAGTATGTTTTTTTTTAAAGAAAATAATTTATTCATTCAGCAGAGATATGTTAAATTGATAAAAAGGGATAGTACAGACTTATACTGTTACAAAATATTTCTATTTTGAATAAATGCTGTTCTTTTGAACTTTTTGTTCATCAAAGAATCCTGAAAATATATATATATATATATATATATATATAACTCACCAGATTTGCATATCGGAATATGTCAGAGAAGCTTTGAATTATTTAGATTTTTGGCAAATGTGCTTTAAAAGCATCCGGCAGTGTGTTTAAGGCTCGCCTCAAAGATGAAGATTGATATCTTCCATGTTTTCCCATCTGTGCCTGATGGTATTAGCTTGACTGAAGCATAGGAATGAACGTACAGTTACCTACATCTGACTAACTAGACGTGATGTCAGTAGCAGCAGACATGTAATCAGATATCATATATCAAACCCTTCTCCTCCTTAATGCATGTGAGTACTGTACTCGAGTCATATTTGCTGTGATAATATGATGCTCTTTAAAGGGGTCATATATGATGTTGCTAAAAAGAACATTATTTTGTGTATTTGGTGTAATGAAATGTATTTATGCGGTTTAAGGTAAAAAAAAAAACACATTATTTTCCACATACTGTACATTATTGTTTCTCCTCTATGCCCCGCCTTTCTGAAACACGTTGATTTTTACAAAGCTCATCGGTCTGAAAAGCGAGGTGTGCTCTGATTGGTCAGCTATCCAGTGCGTTGTGATTGGCCAAATACCTAAAGCATGTGATGGAAATGTTATGCCCCTACCATACTGTAATGCCGTGTCCCCGGCACGGCAAGACAAAACCAATAAAACCTATTATAAACAAGGCATTTGTTGCATCCAGTGGGGACATCATTATGGATTATAATGACTTATACTGTCTTTTTACGCGTTGCGTTGCATATCGCGCCACGTAAACTTAAACCCATGTTGTTATTGGAGAAACGACAAACAACAAGCACTGCTCTACACTGCTCAAAACTCGCATTTGAATCGTCAGTGGCAAATTATTTTAATATGAAAACGTATTTACAGGCTGTGAGTCAGAAGCGCCAGACTGTCCTTGCAAAGTTTTGCTTTCACACGAAACACACGGCATCGTCACGACATGGCGGCGGCAATACTACAGCGAGAATCAAAGCTACGCCTTCTTTCTTTGCGTGAACATTTGGGCGGCGTTATGCAAATCTTCCCACATCGTGACGTAGACATGTGGGGGCGTGTTTAAACAAGGCGTTTTAGGAAGGCGTGGTTGACTCTTAACTTTTATAAAGAATATCTCTTTGAGTTTGAGACTTTAGTCTTTGCAACTTTAGGGATCTTATCTGTTCACGAACAGCTTGTAACACTCCAAAGAGAAAGGAAAACTTGAAATCGCATCTTATGACCCCTTTAAGAGCGTCTGATGACAAGCAGACCCATAATTCTTTAATGCACCATGATGATTTGAGACTTGCAGAAGCAGGATGCCGATCTGGAGGCAGATCGTGGAACAGGATCATGGATCTGATATGGAAAATTAATGGATATGAAATTAATAAATGATGAGGATAAATTACGCCATGTTCTTTCATCCAGCAACAACGTGCCACAAGACGGGCCAGGGGTCAAAGACAATAATTCTGGAAACCTGACACCATTATGATGGAGGTCTTGCTCCAAAACACATGATGGGATGGGATTGTGATCACAGGTGTACAGATCTGGAATTAGGTCACCACTTGTTTAAAGCAAGCATGAAAGATGCTGGAGTTGATGTAGTACTCATTATACTTGTCATTTTTGTGTACGAGATTTCTCTGCGCAAATCAATCATTTCACATTATTAGACCTCAATATATCATCAGGGATATCGACGGCGATTCATTTTGTATTGTCCGTATATGCTTTTTTGACTCTTAAAGTGACGGTAGCCATTGACTTGCATTTTAAGAATCCCCATGTATAAAGTAAAACATCTGCTATTTACATCTTTATTGGGTGTTTTAATAATTTAATTGTGTATACGTGACAATTACATGATTATGTAAATGAACTCGTGTTATTTGAACCAGTTCATTGAAACAAACTGTCCAAAAGAATCAGTTTGTAGAAAATAATCAGACTTCTCCATTTGTCTGAGCTTCTGGATTACAGGTAATAATGTTATAAATAATGTTCAGTTGCTTGCACAGACCGATTATTTCACATTAGTAGACCTCAATATATAATAAGGAACCACCGATATTAATTTTGTGTTGCTTCTATATGCTTTTTTGACTTTTAAAGTGACGGTACCCATTGACTTGCATTTATGAATCAACCAAGAACCACGGTTTCAGCTCAAAATCTTCTTTACTGTTCTACTGAAGAAAAAGTCACCTACATCTTGAATGGCTTGAGAATGAGTAAATTAACAGCAAATTTTCATTTTTAGGAGATCACACACAGAGCCTGGGGTTAGAGAGATGCTTTAGTGTCAACTATTGTTATATATAAATATTAGCAAGCTAGCGCCTGATGTGATC